AATCTAAAAAATTTTATTTTTAAATTTATAATTCAAAACTATAAAAATTTTGATATCTAATAAATAGCTATTAATTAACTATTAATTAGCTAAAATAAGTTTCTTATAAGAAAGTTAATATATATTTTTATTTTATTTTTATTATTATTATTAAAGTAGCTTATATTGTAAAGGAATTTTATTAGAGTTGCAAATGGAATTATATATTGATAATTCTTACTATTTGTAATTATATGAAGAATATACAGCAAGCTATATATATAACTTTAGTCATTATCTATTTTAAGTAGTTTATTGTATAGACATTAGGCTATTTAATTAGTTCTATATTATGCTACTATACTTGTAACCTGTCTGTGAGTTTCCTATTTAACTACTCTATTTATTAACTTATACAGATCTAATCTAATATTACTACAATATCTAATTACTTAAGCTAGCTAGCTTGTTACAGATCTATTTATCTAGAATAGCCTAGGTTCTCTCAGAATATATTATATCAGATATATTGCTAGTATTGCAGAACTAGTTAACTTCGAAACAAATCTACTAGAATGATTCATATCTATTTTACAGATTTATCTAGTTTAGACATTTGTAAATATTTGTATAACTCCAAGTTCTACTATAGTTTTCTACTAGTTAGTCAATCTAGTCTTTTTTTAGTATTTAGCTAGTTCTGATTACTCTTCATTCAGAAATCTCAAAACCTTTTACTTTTATTAAACTGAATTTTTTTCTCAGATCAGACTTTAGCTAATATAGTTCTGTTAGAAAGCTATACTACTTCACTAACTTAGAATTTCTATTATGCAGATTCTCTACTCATATATTTTATCAAGATTTATTTATATAATATTACACTATACTTTCAAGTTCTAATCAATTTGGTGCAACTCAATTTACAGAAATATGCTTTCAGAAACAGAGTTTACAGTAACATATCACAAGATTTGATAAATTATTCAAATTCGTTAACAGTAAGATTTGAACTCCAGACCTATTGCATGGCAATTTGACAACCTAACTACTATACTAGGTTGCTAAATCTAAAATTAACATATATTATATTTATATAATAAATATATTTGTTAAAAATATAAGTTTTTGTAAAGTATATATTAGAACTATTTTTTATCTACATAAAAATAAAAGTAATATTAATAGAAGATTATTTAATTTCCTTAATTTTCTATTTATCTTTGCTATATAAATAGTCTTTTTATTATTTTTTTGCTTTAGATTTACAAATCTAGTTTTATAATCTTTTAAAATATTTTCTAATTCTATAATTCTAGCTATAAACTCTAATTTTTTAGTTAAGAAATTATCTTTTTAGAATTCTATTTTTCTAATAAAGAAACAAAGTCTCGAGTTTTTAATTCATCAATTTTGGGATTATGTATTTGCTATTTTTAGTGAGTCATTAAAGCCGAGTTGAAAAAAGTAACGTTTTTGATGTATTTAGAGTTATCTTTTTGATTTAGTTAGAGTTAGTTGGTTATTTAGATATCAAAAATACAATTTATGCAGTATGTATATCAATTTATACTTTAAGAGACCCCTATTTTTATATAAAAATGTAGATTATTCAAAATGTTTTTTTATTAACATTATAAAGTACCACTATTACGGTAAATCACTTTGTAAAGAAAAATTCTCAATCATATACAATGTAATAAAATCCTGAAATATACATGCAAAAGTAAATATGTTTATATATACGAAATAGCTACCAGGGTCAGCCTTATTGATATAAAATACGTACAAGATTTTTTTTTATTTGTATATTATTCTAGCAACAATTTTTTATTAAGTAAAGAAGAGTTCTTATATTTTTATTTTATTTTAATGCGATTACGCGATTTTCATAATGCAAAAGCTAAATTTATTTATGGATCTCAAATAGAACATTTACGCAACATAAATTATGCAAATGATTCAGTGTTTCCTTTTTATATGCATGAACATTTCGTTTTTAGTGAAATGATTAACTATCTGTTTGTTGGTATAACATTATACCTTGAATGCAGGTTATGAACTTCTCTTAACATTCCCATTTCTCAACTTCAGCAGTATAGATTTCTTTGGTGAAATAGTTACCGGATCGAGTTCATTATCATGATCTGATTCATCAGCATTTTCTATATATGAAATAATGTCCTCAGCGCTTGAAAAAATCATTTCCTAACAATACTCAGAAATGTTAATTATAGAATCTATATGTGATAGCATCTAGTGTATAGTTAAATATTTACACGCATTCTCCATAAATTTGACAAGAATTTTGGTAACATTCTAAATGTAAGGAATGTAATTGTTGGGCATTTAAAAACAAGTTCTCGCTTAAAGTAATATACTCCAGAAAAAGGTAATGACAAGCTGTAAATATAAAAAAAGTTATCTAAGATAACAAAAAATGTGAGTAAAGAACCATACAACGATAATTCTAAATATAGTATAACTTATAAAACTCACTGAAAACTTGTATTCCATAAACTTTTATTTTTCGGAATTGTTGAAAATCTCCTTGGTAATTCATTCTAATATAATTTAAGATGATTTTCAAAGATTTTGCAATTTTATTACGATCACCGATGTAGTGGTTGTGATCATGATCTTTTGGAGACCCAGAAACTTCCACAACTGAAAATTCAAGGTCTACTTCCAATAACTTTATAATAGCGTCAATTTTACTTCCAGGATTACGTCGGTCACTGTCTTGTTGTGAATTATTAAATAAGATTGCTGAACAACGTAATGATTTTTCACCCCTATTACAATATAGTAAAATAAGCGATGATTATCGAGCAATAAATATTAATTTAATTATGCTGAAACTTACCAAGCCAAACCTATATGTTGAAAATCTTTGAATAAAGGTTTAAAAACCACATATATAAAGGTTATTATGTAATGATATTCAGTTTGATCATCATTGAAAGCGTTCTTGCAATTTCGAAACTGATCGCGACTATGATAGTAATAGAATTGTAATATTAGCACATGTTGATGATATTAAAAGAATCATAAAAACCGCATACAAAGCTTTTGCAATTGTCAAGATTCTTCGTTTCCATTGGTCATTACTGCCAGTTCTCAAATTAGAGCGTTCAGACTTTAATGTCATACATAATTTATCATAAGAATTCTGTTTATACAATAAAAGAAAACATCTGATTCAATAATCTATATTTAATATTTTAAATAATATCTACTTACCACATTCTTCACAACAGTTTTGACATAAGTTTTTACTTCTTCGACTTGCTCATCCTTCTTATTGCCTGACATTGCCGTCTCTGCAGTCGGTGACAACATGGCTTCTATTTCATCAATCATCCTGTCCCAAATATCTTTGAAAAGATTTCGCGAATTTGATGATGATGATTCAATATTATCAATTATATTATAACGAAGCAAACTGTAAAATGAAGTTAGTTATAAGTAAAAAAAAAAAAAAAATAATATTGCAAGTATTTATCGAAAGACATACTCCTGCTTGTGTATTTCTGGAATATACTTAGATTTTTTACGCCATCCCATTATTTTTGATCGTACGCATATATTTTCGATATAAAGACTATTGTCACTATATACAGCCTCTTGGTCAAAATCATTTATGTTATCTTCTTCGCTTTCATAATGCTAATATCAACGAAAGATAATTAATTAGATTGATACAGTACACTAAATTTTTCCATAATTAAAGTTATTTGTAAAGCAAGTACCTCCGACTTTTTTTGCATTACTGTCGGCACGGCAGATTGTAGCACATCAGAATTCGAAGGTTGAGAAATGATGTCACGCACAGGAAAATATTCATCAATTCTTGTTCGCTTTTTAGGATAGTCTTGCTTGATCCGTTCATCCTAAAGTATTAATACAAAATAATTAGCTCTACTGATTCTCCCAAAAAAAACTATTTATACTGTATGTACCTTTTCATTATTATCATCCTTTTTCCTCTTTGACGCACTTTCTTCGGATAAATTAAAAGTTCCACCATTGATGCTTCCCACCAAAGGATTTCCTGTAAATGTTGGATTATTAAGATGAATTGAAGGTCCAGTTGGTTTATGCTCATCTCTCCATTTTCTCGCCAAATGATAATCGGGTCGATCATCCTATAAAAAAGACTTGACGAATTAATAATATCTAATTATATTCATCCCACAGGTTCAGCTTTTAGCCTTGAACTCAGCCAACCTTTTAGATTGTCTGCGTCCTGTGGGGCCAATGTTAGGTCAGCTTTTAGCCTTGAACGTCAGGCAACCTTATAGATCACCTGGGCCCTAACATTAGCTTCGTGGTTCGCCTTTTAGACTTCTATTCATCCTACAGGTTCAGCTTTTAGCCTTGAACTCAGCCAACCTTTAGATTGTCTGCGCCCTGTGGGGCCAATGTTATGTCGGCTTTTAGCCTTGAACGTCAGGCAACCTTCTAGATCACCTGGGCCCTAACATTAGCTTCGTGGTTC